ATGAAAGCTACCAGGGACATCTCATGGGGCCCCTTACTGAGCTCGGGCAGTGCCCAAGTTTTTGAAATGGTCAGTCCACCCCTGGGCTGGTGTATATTGCGATAACATTTACTTTTGTATTTGAGATTAGGGGGGAGAACCAAAGCTCTCTACATGTTGTTAGACATCAGCAATATTTAGTTATTTTAAATGTTCTTTAATATATAAACAAACACCACTCCCCTGAAACAGATTAACTCTTTAAAGTGGTATTAAAACCAAAAGAACAAGCTGTCAAGCAGATGTAGCAGTTAAATGATTTGCCTCATGCCTCAACCCAGTATCACTGACAGAAGTGCTTATAACAGTGGTCAGCTTTTGTTTGTTTATGTAAAACCTTTATCCCAAAAAGGGGGAAAAAAAAAAAAACCTGTTCATGTAGCTGCATATAAAAAGTGTTATCTGGACTGGCTACAATTTGTTCATGTATCAAAATCTGCTAGTGCATCTAAAACTACCCCCCCAGACTGACAATGCCACTGTCCAAGGTGTATGATGCTCTATCATCCAGAGTGGGGCACTCTAATACAGAAGGTCCAAAACTGGCAAGATCACCAGGTAAAAACAGAGGGAAGAAAGACTAGAAAAACTAATGCAGACACCACATCTATTGCCTGTTAAGCTGCCATATACAGGTGAAACTAAAAAAAAAAAAAAAAAAATTAGAATATCGTGCAAAAGTTCATTTATTTCAGTAATGCAACTTAAAAGGTGAAACTAATATATAGATAGACTCATTACATGCAAAGCAAGATAGTTCAAGCTGTGATTTGTCATAATTGTGATTATGGCTTACAGCTCATGAAAACCCAAAATCCACAATCTCAGAAAATTTGAATATTGTGAAAAGGTGCAATATTCTAGGCTCAAAGTGTCCCACTCTAATCAGCTAATTAAGCCATAACACCTGCAAAGGGTTCCTGAGCCTTTAAATGGTCTCAGTCTGGTTCAGTAGGAATCACAATCATGGAAAAGACTGCTGACCTGACAGTTGTGCAGAAAACCATCATTGACACCCTCCATAAAGGAGGGAAAGCCTCAAAAAGGTAATTGCAAAAGAAGTTGGATGTTCCCAAAGTGCTGTCTCAAAGCACATTAATAGACAGTTGTGTGGAAGAAAAAGGTGCAAAAGCAACAGGGATGACTGCAGCCTGGAGAGGATTGTCAGGAAAAGGCCATTCAAAAGTGTTGGGGACTTTCACAAAGTTGACTGAGGCTGGAGTCAGTGCATCAAGAGCCACCACACACAAGCAGATCCTGGACATGGGCTTCAAATGTCATATTCCTCTTGTCAAGCCGTTCCTGAACAACAAACAACATCAGAAGCGTCTTACCTGGGCTAAAGAAAAACAGACTTGGTCTGTTGCTCAGTGGTCCAAAGTCCTCTTTTCTGATGAGAGCAACTTTTGCATATCATTTGGAAACCAAGGACCCAGAGTATAGAGGAAGAATAGAGAGGCACACACTGCAAGATGCTTGAAGTCCAGTGTGAAGTTTCCACAGTCTGTGTTGATTTGGGGAGCCATGTCATCTGCTGGTGTTGGTCCACTGTGCTTCATTAAGTCCAGGGTCAACTCAGCCGTCTACCAGGAGATTTTGGAGCACTTCATGCTTCTTTCCGCAGACGAGCTTTATGGGGATGCGACTTCATTTTCCAGCAGGACTTGGCACCTGCCCACACTGCCAAAACCTGGTTCAATGACCGTGGGATTACTGTGCTTGATTGGCCAGTAAACTCGCCTGACCTGAACCTCAGAGAATCTATGGGGCATTGCCAAGAGAAAGATGAGAGACATGAGACCAAACAATGCAGAAGAGCTGAAAGCCGCTTTTTGAAGTATCCTGGTCTTCCATAACACCTCAGCAGTGCCACAAGCTGATAGCTTCCATTCCATGCCGCATTGAGGCAGTAATTGCTGCAAAAGGGGCCCAAACCAAGTACTGAGTACATATGAATGCTTATACTTTTCAGGAGGTCCGATATTGTTCTATGTACAATCCTTGTTTTATTGATTGCATGTAATATTCAAATTTTCTGAGATTGTGGATTTGAGGTTTTCATGAGCTGTAAGTCATAATCATCACAATTATGACAAATCATGGCTTGAACTATCTTGCTTTGCATGTAATGAGTCTCACATATTAGTTTCACCTTTTAAGTTGCATTACTGAAATAAATGAACTTTTGCACGATATTCTAATTTTTCAAGTTTCACCTGTATTAGTTTTGGGTTTAATACTTCAAGGCCACGTTTGATATTAGGCTTTAAATTTATAAATCCACCCTGTCACGACCTGTTAATCTTCACCCAAGGGTTGGAGTGGATACAGTCGAAGGTCTCTTTCACGAGTGAGCTGATCGGGTACGCCTGTCCGTTTTTCAAGCGGACCCTCCACTCCATGGAGTGGTGGGTGTAAACAGACGTGTCCGTTTACACCTACCTGCATCCAATCTGCAAAAAAAAAAAAAAAAAAAAAAAAAAAAAAATAGAAAGATGGGGATCTATCCCCCATCCATCTGGTAGATCGAATGACAGTCAGATAGAAACAAAACAAGTGGCCAGTTTCCATCCAACAGCCCAAAAAGGACAGAGGGCAGTGTACATGTCTGCTCTGTGCAAGTGTAGGGGACATGGACCTGTCATCCGCTTTCTCAGCGGGCAGATCCCCCACAGGGCAAGTGGATCCACTGACGAGTCCACTCTGTGCAAAATAGAGCCTAACAAGGAAAGAGACACTTTTTGTAACTATGAGGATTAACAAAATGTTATCCAACCGCTGTTTAAATATTGCCTGCTAAGATGTCCTGATCAGCAGTAAATGGCATAGTATTACTGACCACTGCACTCAGCAGACCCTGCACTGCATTAGCTATGTTGTACATGATACTTCTGACCCCTACTTCATTTGATATTTTGTACACTGTATTTGGTGTATATTGCAGTCATATCTTTATAGATATGACTGCAATATACACCAAACTCTGCACTGGATACACTATGATGTATGTTATATGCCTGACCACTGCACTCACCATGTTGCACATGATACTCCTGACACCTGCACTACATTCACTAGGCTGTACATTATGCGCTTTCACGCATCCAAAAATAGGGCCAGACAGATTCCCACAGCAAGAATCAGATTTTTGTGGCTGGAATCACAGGCATTTGCAAACAGCTGCAGGACCTCAGCCTGTACAAAGAAAATGACAGGCTTGCAGAAGCCACAACTGTTTGCATGTATCCAGACAGTCAGTGAACACCTGCGGTTTACCCCAGGATGTCGTTTCTGTATCGGTAAAGCAAGGGCATGCAGTTTGGCCAGTTGTGCCTGGAAAAATCCAGAAATGTCTATTTTCCATACTGTAGATCATGGCTGAATTGTGGTGTGAACATGTTAAAAATGTTTCCTTATGTGGTCTTGCAGTGACCGGTGTTGATTTGGTGCAGAAAAATGCAGATCACTGTATATTGTAGAAGTCCTGTTTAGATATTCAATGATGCTGCACAATGCGTAAAACATGTTGTAACAGGTGCAGTATTTATTAAAATTGCTACACAACAAAGTAACTTAGTATGTTGCCATTTCAAAAGAAAGTTCCAGGGAAAAAAAAAAAAAAAAAAAAAAAAAAAAAAAAAGTTGAACATGAAAGCAGAAATACAGAAAAGGAGACTTTATAAAGTTTGCTACACGGTCTAAAGATGGCCATACACTAGAAGACATTGCATCAAATTTCTTATAGTGAATGTGGTTCCATCTGGGAAGTTGCATTCATTCCAAAACCGAATGTTAAAAAAGGCAAACGAAATTTAAATCATTGAAGTGTGGATTAGAATTCATATATGAAGGTTTGTACGTTCATTAGTTTGAAACTCTAGTGTCTACTAGTGTATGGCCAGCTTAAAAACGGAGTATGTATGTGTATATAAAAAAATAAAACATGCATGAATCTGCCATTCTGTCAAAAGGAGGAGAGGTTTTTGAAACAAAGCATTTTACATAAACATGACTGTAAAACATTTTACACATCTTAAACTTTCAAGAACGCCTAATGATGAAAAGGTAAACATAAGCTATATAGACATGGTTTGTCAGTTTATCAAAAGAGTGTCCTGTTGCATACAAAACAAGGAGATAATCTGCTCAAAATGAAATCTGGAGCCTTACCAGACAATTTAATAGTATAGCTGGCACACCCTACATGTGCTCTCTGATTTGTTACAGAGTACCTTTCAGAAGACCTGGCCCAATGCTTACTGCCTCTTGCCTGATCATCCTATGCAGAAACCTTGGCTAGTGAAACAGGTCATAAATTGACCATGGTTTTCTACAGTCTGAGACCACTCAGGTCCTTGTTTCTGCTTTTTTTTTTTTTTTTCCTGCAGTCTAAGGCATGTACTATACTATACCATACAAGGACCATTTAATATGGCTACAGATTTGCTTTAAAAACAGACCTTTCTGCTTTTAGGGGAACAGGGTAGGGTTCAATCTGTTACTGCATCTTAAAGTCCATTTTAAACTGAGCCAGCAGGATCTCCTCACCAATGCCCCAGAAACTAAAAATCTGCACAGATCAAACTTTATCCCTTCAAATACAGTATAATCCACTATGGATGGGGATCAGATTTCACAAACCAATACATTTAACTTATAAAACGTTCACAAAAAACTAGCCATTGTAAATTCAGCACTCAGTACGTATGATGATATCAAGGAAATTTCTAATAACAGAAGAGTAAAACACACACACACACGCACAATGGAGGCAATATGAATACTGTCTTTGTTAAAGAAAAAGCCTCCACTCATTTTCTTGATGAACTTGGATTTATCTAGAATGTTGAGAAGAATGGTCTTCTCAGGAAGCTTACACGATATGACCAGCAAATCCTAACAAACCAGAAATGTGCAAACCATTTAATGCTCTGCATGTTCTGGTGCAGGGAGGAAAGGCATTAATCTTCATCAGAACCAGATTGTCGGCTGCTCTTTCCCCTGTAGCCCCGTGACCTAGATCTTGAACGGGAGTTTTGGGTTATTTCCTTATGCGAGTTAGAATTCGAGTGTCTGTAATGAGGAGACTTTGAACGAGATCGTGCAGAGCCAGAGCGGTGTTGGCCATATCGTGCCTTTGATCCAGACTGCTTTGGTGGAGAGCCAGATGGTGATTTCTCTGCTGATCTAGACCGTCCTCTTGACAAATGTCTTTGGGGTGATCTTGACCATCTTACAGGTGACTTTGAATGGGATTTTGAATGGCTATACGAATGTCTTCTGTGCCTTGCCCTGAAAGAAAAACCAGTAAGATGAATAGACGGTGGATTTATAATCACAGTTTCAATTTTCTAGTTGCCCCTTTGCATGTTGTATCCCCAAGATATTTCAGCTTTTGGTAGAGGCTGGGTGGTTAAATGACCTAATGTATTCTGAAATCTTAGCGATCTCAGATGGTGTATTCAAATCTGTACACATGGCATATTCAAATCTGTACACATGCTGCTCTCACTTTCCTCTTTGGATTCTTTAATTTGTTTAATACAATGGTAAATACATTAGAGGCTGAACACCTAAAATGTGAGTGGGAACAATATTAGGAATCGTGGCAGGAAAGATCACTTAGAGTCAACACAGTCAGTAACTAAAAATTTTGAAAACTTCAATAAAATAAAGCTGCAGCAATTAGCAAGTCATCCTATAGATTCTTATTATAGATTTGTACGGAGTACCAAGAATGAAGAACTTCTTAGGCACATTCAAGATCACTCAAGTTATCAGATATTCTGACAGCGCTGACTACAAATTACTGTTTTAGGCACCATTTCACAAGTGTAGCAGTCATGTCATGCATATGCACGTTTGTTGCACTTCACAAGTAGGACAGCTCAATCATTCTGACATGGCCAACAATGAATATTACTGCAAGCATGACAAGTGTTTTTTGTGTGTTGTGCAATTGTGGAAAAATTGAGATTGGAATACAAATGGGGCCTTAAGAGTATGCAAAAACACTTGTCTATGTATGGAGCAATCAAAATAGGGGAGTCACAACATGCTTCAGCATCCGTCTGCACCGACACCGTACCCCAGTCCTCAGCTTCCCTGAGCAGTCTGCCAGCTCCGAAGAGCATATGCGATGGCACAGTTGAATAAAAAAATGTTATATACAAAGCCAAGGAATGTCGTGTTACATTACCTCCTCCTGCTGCGGTCCCAAGAAGAGCTTCGACTACGTGTACGTCTTCTACTGCGGCTTCTAGACCTCCTGCGATCAACTGGGGAACAGGCATGCCTCTCCTTCGATTTCATTTGCACAGGAGCTACAAATTAAAAAAAAAAAAGCAAAAAAAAAAAAAAAAAAAAAAAAAACATTGTATGGATGGATGCAGAATAGCTGCAAACTATTTTTCTAATCCAATCTTATCTACTGTCCACACAAGCTGTAAGAATTGTGTGGAGGCAGAATCTGACCAGAAAAGGCCCTCAGTTGATGGTGAAATGGAAGTTGGGGGGAGCTTAGTCATGAAGTCAGCAAAAAGACTTGTCCAAGCAGATTTGTTGGCTGCTTGAGATAGTTTCACCTGATACATAAACCTAAACTGCCCAATGACTAATTGGTCCTTGTGCATCTATAGAGAGGCAGTCTCCTGAAGACAGACAGTTTAGCACGTGCTTGTAATTTTCAAAGCTCAATGGACTCAACTGAAAAAAAAAAAAAAAAAAAAGTACCAGTTACACTAAGGCTGGCCATACATTATACAAAATTTTCTTGAGAATGTTACTTTAGATTTACCAAAAACTATATAAAAAGGAGGTCAAACCTAAACAATTTCAATTGTATCCAATTAAAGCAGGCCCTTGCACTACATAGTTGAAGGTAAAGCTAAAGAAAATTGGGCAAAAAATTGTATCGTGTATGGCCAGCCTTACCGGTAATGGTATTTCTGGGAAACCTTCCAGGATGGCACACCTGAGAGATAACTAGCTCCACCTGACAGGAAACACAAAATCGACAATTGGCAGTTTAAATTCCCTGCCCTTCCCTCCTCCTTTTTTATTTTATATATATATATATATATATATATATATATATATATATATATATAAATATAATATAAATAACTGAGTATTTCCACACCCTGGTGCGCAAAAGGTAATCTGTCTTGAATTAACCAACCCCAGATATCGGTGGGAAGTAGGCCTGCCGTCCTGGAAGATTTCCCAGAAATATCGTTACTGTTAAGTGTAACTGGTACTTTTCTCTAGTCATCTTCCAGGATGGCACACCTGAGATAAGCAAGGAACTCAGGCCTACCTTAGGGCGGGACCACTGCCTGTAATACTTTCCTGACGAACGCCAAGTCAGGAGGTGCTAACAACTCTACCCTGCAGGGTTTCGCAAAGGTGTCCTGGCTTGTCCATGTGGCTGCTTGGCATATCTTCTCAATCGATGCTATGGCCTTCTCCACCCAAGAGGTCGCTAGCGCTCTAGTAGAGTGAGCCCTCAGGTGTGAGGGAACAGAAACCCCTGATAAGCCAAGGAGGTGGCATGTCTGATCCATCTAGCTATTGTTGGCTTAAGTGCTTCCTGTCCCTTCTTCGAGCAATTAAATAAAAATAAGGTGATTCAACTTCCTGAAGTCACTCTATTCAAATATGTCAGTAAATACTACCTGACAAAAAAAAACCCAAAAAAAAAAAAAAAAAAAAAAAAAAAAAACTTTTCCCTCTAATTCCTAGGGTATTGACAGAAAGTCAGTAGGATAATCTCCTGTGTCCTATGAAACCATGGAGGCCACTTTGGGCAAATAAAGAGGATCCTGTCTAAGAACTACCCTGTCCTCTTATACCACCAGGAAGAGTGCTCTGAAGGTCACCTATGCTCCTTGCTATTGTGATGGCTAAAAGGAAGGCCAACTTAAAAAGAAATTAAACAAAAATCTGTGCTACTGGCTCAAAAAGTGACTTGGTTAAAGCCTCTAACACTAAGGTCAGATCTCAAGCCAGAAAAATTATGTAACCTAAAAACGGGGGTCACCCTCTCTTTGGCTCCCAGAAACCTCTTAGGGGCTGCAACCTTTAGGGTGCCTACTGCTATACCTTTATCCACCCATACTTGGAGAAAGTCTAAGATCACTGAAACCGTGGGAAAGGAAACCCCCCCCCCCCCCCCCGACACCAACTCAAAAACACTCTCCACACCTTGGAGTATATTTATCTAGTGACCAGTTTCCTACCGAGAAAAAAAAAAAAAAAAAAAGTGTACATCACTCCCTCAGAACACCCCCTTTTTCTAAGGATTTCCCTTTCAAGGAGCCAAGCAGTTAATAAAAAATAATAATAATAAATAATAAAAAAACACTACAGATTGGGGTGCAGAGTTGGCCCCTGTAAGAGAAGATCCCTCTTGACTGGGAGACGCTGCAGGGGAGCCACGGCCCACCTCTTCAAGGAGGCGAACCAGGCTCTTCTTGGCCACCACGGAGCCAGCAAGATCAGTCTAAAGCCTGATCAGCCCAGCTTCTGAAGTATCCACAGGATCAGTGGCAAAGGACGAAATACATATTCCACCTCAAAATCCCATTCCTGTGCAAACACATCCAGGCCTTCGGATCTCGTGTCAGAGAAATATTGTCTCACCTTTCTGTTTTCCCTGCAAGCAAAAAGGTCCATCTCCGGGCTGCCAAAAACCTGATTAGCTGAAAAACACACCTTGGGATTTAGTTCCCACTCTCCCTGGTGAGTGGTTGGCTGAGAAAATCTGCTTTAGTGTTGACCAACCCTTTTATGTGGGCTGCCGACATAGAAAGAACTCGGCTCTCTGACAATTCTAGGATCTGGTGCCCCCCTGATGATTTAGGTATGCCACTGTTGACATATTGTCTGGATTGAATAAAAAAGTCCAAATTCTGTCAGTCTGCAAAGGCCTGACCCACTGCCAAGAACTCTCTACAATTGGAGGAGGTACCCCTTAGGCACAGCTCCCATGGGGCTTGTGGTTATTGGTCCTCTACATGGGCTCCCAGACCCACTCGCTTGCATCTGTGGTTACCCGAACTGGGTCCCACTGTGCCCACGGTTTCCCTTCCCCCAGATTCTGCAGATCATCAGATTGTCTAGGTAAGGGATGAGGGAAATTCCCTGAAGGTGTAAATAGTCTACTACCTCAGCCAAGACCTTGGTAAATATTCTCGGACTGGACACTAGCCCAAAAGGGAGGGCTCAGAACAGCCACCGACTGCCCCCCCCCCCCCCCCCGTTCTTGGGATGCAACTCATCCTTTTTCCTCCAAACACGAGTGTAGTTTAGACCAAAAAGTTCTACTTTGGTCTCATCTGACCACATGACTTTCTCCCATGCCTCCTCTGGATCATCCAGATGTCCAGGCCTGTCTGAAGTTTGCCAATGACCATGTGATGACTTGAGCAGAGGAACCTTCCGTGCAATGCATGATTTGAACCCATGACAGCGTAGTGTTCTACTGACAGTAACCTTTGAAACTGTGGTCCCAGCTCTCTTCATGTCATTGACCAGCTCCTCCCTTGTAGTTCTGGGCTGATTCCTCACCTTTCTTGTCATCAGTGATACCCCACGAGGTGAGATCTTGCATGGAGCCCCAGTCCGAGGGAGAATGACAGTCGTCTTTAGCCTCTTCCATTTTCTAACAATTGTTCCAACAGTTGATCTATTTTCACCAAGCTGCTTGTCAATTGCCCTGTAGCCCTTTCCAGCCTTGTGGAGGTCCACAATTTTATCTCTGGTGTCTTGACAGCTCTTTAGTCTTGCCCATGGTAGTAGTCGGCGTCTGACTGACTGGGGTGGACAGGTGTCTTTAAAGAGCTCAGACAGGTGCTACCAAGTTAGATTAATGAGTGGAGTAGAGGTGGACTTTTTAAAGGCACAGTAACGGTCTTTGAGAGCCAGAATTCTTGCTGTTTCTTAGGTGTTCAAATACTTATGTTCAGCAGTGCAAGACAAATAAATTCTTTAAAAATCATACAATATGATTTCCTGATTTTTTTTTTTTAATTCTGTCTCTGAGTGGGAATGCACCTACAATGTGAATTTCAGATCCCTCCATGATTTTTAAGTGGGAGAACTTGCAAAATCGCAGGGTGTTCAAATACTTCTGTTCCTCACTGTATCCCTTTTCCCGAGAAGCACACCGGTAGGGGAATGGATAAGGTCTCTACCCCCCCACCACCCCCCATCAGCTGAGTCAGACTCACTGCCCGTGGTCTTCTCACTGGCTGCAGCCACTGCCTTGCCTTCCATCCTTAGCAGCGCCCTTCAGGACTGCGTCACCTTCACCAGGCTTCTGGGTCTACAGTCCCAGGGGGTAATTCCTGGAGGCTCCACACTGACCTGATGAGGAAGTGCCGACCGGCACCGCCATCTTTAAAGGCAGAAATCCAACCCTCGCTGGAAGTCCTACTGCGAGCGAGGCTTGGTACACAGCTTTGCTCCCACTTCTGGTCCTGCGCCCTGTGCTCCTACACTGGCAGAACCAACAGCAGACTCCACCGCAGCCATCCCGCTCACCCTACAGGTGCATGCCGTGCGACCCCATATGCCAGCAGGTGGTCCCCAAACCCGCGAGAAGCCACCTTGCGGCCTGGTCCTCTCCTGACATACCTCCTCGCTGCCCTGGAAGAGGGAGGAAGGGTGCCCGTACCTTGAACGCCAGGCACACCTCCCCTTTGCCCGGGAATCTGATCAACTGGGACCCCTGGAATGGGCGAGTAGAGCCTGCTCTCCCCATCTCAGCTGTTTACCACCCCCAGGGGGGAACCTCCAGCCCCAGGCCTTAGGTCCAAAAAAAAAAAAAAAAAAAAAAAAAAAAACCCCCCACACGTTTCGCTGCCATGGAACTGAGGAATGGAAGGAGGGGCGGAGAATTTAAACTCTGTCAATTGCGTTTCCTGATGGGTGAAGCTAGTCATCTCAGGTGTAGTCCTGGAAGATGACTAGAGAAATAACATTTTTGAGCCGAATGTTAAAAATCAAAGACTAATCGCAGCTAATGGCACTATATGCTATGTGAAATCATATACAATTATGCCTGAAATATTGATATAGTCAACAATTGGTATGTGTTATGATTATGTACATTGTGACCCACAATAAATGATTATGGGTCCCCACTCAGGCTGTTAAGGTCCAATAAGTTAAATGCTAGTAAAGGTGCAGACTAAGGAAAGGTCCATCCACACCCAAAGCATGCTACAAAAATAGGATTATATAGCCCGGCCGCCGCACACCTCACCCAGCCCGAGTGGTTAACAGGTAAAAGCAGCCTCAACTGGATTCAGCCAGACCACACCAACACTGGAGGAGTAATTTGGATGAATCGAGCCGAGGCTGTGATAACAGACTAACCACTCGGGCTGGATGAGGTATACCGAGGCCGGGCTATCTCTTCCTATTTTTGCAGCATGATTATGTACATTACTGAATGAACCATCTCTTTTGTAAAATTAACCTTCCAAGATTGTACAAGATATGCATGTTAATCCTGATCCACTGTAATATTAGCCAGACACCAAGTACTTACTTTTCCGATCACCTTGAGCAAATTGTATCTCAATCTGACGTCCACAAACCCATTTTCTGTTTAGATTATAAAGGGCATCTTCAGCATCACGAACATCTTCAAACCTGGCTGTCTGTTAAGGAGACTTTGCAGTGTACGGTACGTAGTGCTATATACACAACTTTAAAAAGTTAAAACCCAGGCTAGCTATAAGAGTTCAATGATTCACAAATTTCAAAATGTTAAAGTCTATTTAAAGCAGCAATGATCACAAGCTTTGGATGACCTAAGGCTAAAAGTTAAAATATACAAACTGCACATGCTTAAAAGAGAAATTTTACCTTTGAGAGGTTTGTGCATTCCTTTCTTGCCACCCAAAGAATGAACATTGCGACAGATTAAAACAAAAAAAGGAGCCTGCCTCCAAAATCTAACTTTTAGTACAAGACCTACAATACCCCAAAAATTTACAATGAGCCCAAGGTCACAGAATGAGAAACAAAAAGGCAAAGACAGCAAATACATTTAGCATGCATCTTGTATTTGAAATAGTTAAAATTATTTAAATACAAGCCAGACATCTAACTTTGTGGGGTAATGCTTCAAATGCAGAGTAGTACAGAATGTAAACAATGCACTAGACCCATGCAAGTCAGGCAACTGGAAATGGGCTTTATTAAAGTAATTCTAAAGGCTTAAAATTTAAAAAAAAAAAAAAAAAAAAAAAAAACACCCACAACAAAACATCTATACTTACCTTCTGTGTGCAGTGGTTTTGCACCCAGCAGCCCAGAACCTCCTCTTCAGGTCCCTGGCAGGAGCTCCTGGACCTCCTGTCAGGGGCACCTGAGCATGTGCATTCCCCAGCCACTGCTCCATGTGTCCATTCACACAGGGAGCCATGGCTTGGCCCCAGCCCATCTCTCTTCTCATTGGCTCACTGGCTGTGATTGCAGCTCCCGCTGCTGTCTCAGGCAATAAGAGGGAGTCCCGGGATAGCCGAGATGCCAGTGCACATTTCTGGATCAAGAGGGGGCTTAGGTGAGTATTTGGAGGGGGATGCTGCAGAGAGAAGGTTTTTTTTTTACCTTCATGCATAGAATGCATGAAGGTAAAAAAAACCCTTGAGCCTTTTCAATCAATCACTTTAGGTAAAAAATGTTTACAGGGTAAAAGCATAGATCAGGAGGTCTAACCTGTGACTTTGGGGAAAGGAGGGTTGAATTAAGAAGGAATGTCCAGACCAAAAAGGTCAACCAGGCTTAAGCAGAATAGCCTTAACTATATAGAGGAGATCCATAGTAAGACAGATAGCTACCAGATAGATCAGAAGTTATCAAAAGATATGCATGGATGAGAAGTCCCTTCAACTCTCTCAAAAGTTGTTTCAGGGGGTCTAGTAGGTATACCACGACCTACTTGAGCAAACATTAAATATATAAATGCTAGGAAACTGTAAACCTAGCCTCAAAGAGCAGAAACAAAATGGAGCTAGGAGCAGGAATCCCATTTACAAAGCACTATGAATAATTAGAGTGAGAAGAGGACCTAACTTAAGGGAGTGGCTTAATCAGTGGGTGGTGCAGTCTGTCACAGTCTCCATTCAGAGCAGTACAGAGCTCAGTAGCTATTACTAGCAGCCAGTCCAGAGTGTGCAAGTGAATACCGGCTCCAAAACAAATGAATGAGAATGCAGCCATTTGCTAGCACGGTTTGTTTATTCATTTTGCGGAGATCACAAGTTAACTTTAACGCTGATACACGTTTAAGTAGGTAAATGCAATACAGTACAGAATGACAACCCCAAAAAAACTTGTGGCTACTGCTGCTTTAATTAGAACTTCCAAAAATACTTCTTTACACTTTGAATTAACTTTAACTAAATCAGACATACTTGAGAAGCAGGATACAAAAAGGAAACTTTTGTGGTTACCTCATTTGACTTGATCTTGAACCTTGACCTTTGCTCTTTAGTGCTTGCAAGGTGAAGCTGGACAAGGATCAACCAAATCGAACTTTGCTTTGGATATAAATGTAGGAAATTTGAACCCTCAGCTTGCAGCAGGCTGTGTCTTTAGTGCTTGGCAAGAACTTCCCCTCTTCCAGCTTTCTTATCTGTTTCCACCCTCCCTCTTTATTCCTTGAAGCTGCAACTTCAAAGGTGTCTGTGGGCTTTACGCTTGGCTCTATCTAACCAGGCTCATTCAAACCTTGGGGTGCTTGCCAGCTACTGTGGACTGCTTTACATTTTCTGAGACAGAGAAATAAATACACATACAATTAGGAGGTAGGCACTTCATGCTCCTAAACATCAACACAAGCACATAAAGGATATTGAATATAAGCAAATCCTCTGGGGCGACGATTGTAGTAGTCAAGAGGAATGTAAACGTCTACTATTGGGCCATACCGACCAAACTCACGCCGCAAATCCTCCGGCCTGAAGTGTGTAAGGCAGAGAAACAAGGTTGATAGTGCAACTTCATTGTTGTGCAAGTTAAACAAAACTACCTTGTGTGCTCTATGATCTGCACTAGATAACTTCAAACAGAAAAAAAAAAAAAAAACAAAAAAAAAAAAAAAACACCCATATTATTTTATACAACGTCTGATCTCTACAGCAGTGGTTTTCAACCTCTTTGGCCAACATACCACCCTCAAGGAACATCCCCCAGCTCAAATATCCCTAATCATTTATACGTACAATATATTTTTAAGCAAAGTAATGTGTAACACATTTAATGCTAATCAACACAGAAACCTTAGTGTGGTCTGTGCCTGAAGGAATCACACAGCAGAGGCACCTCTGAGCAGCCCAGGGGAGTTTGCATCTGCAAAGCTTGCCCCCTGCTTGGAGGTGAAGACCCCACTGACCACCTGATGCTCAGCAACACATCCTAGCCTAACTACACAACCTAGTTAGCTCCCATCAAGGTCAACTCATATGGAGCTCCCAGGCGAGAAAAAAAAAATAGGGGCAGCCAGGAGAAGGGCTAGTGGTCATTTTAGGGACACAGACCAGCCCGGAAATGCTTTTTTTTTTTTTTAACTGGTTTTATTGTGAAAAAGGAGGTCACATATAAGAGAAGTTGAACTTTTGGGGCATAGTGAGGTTCCCAATCTCAAAGCAACATAGTGAGATAAGTTACTTTGAGGATGTGAGGCACAGAAACATTAGATCTTACATGTGACCACTCACCAAAATAAACAAGTAAAAAAACTAATATTTTAGGGGTGCTTGTGACTTTTTATGCACCATCAACTGTCATTACAAGTGCCTCAACCTACATAGGTGAAGTCCTGCACTCTGCATCTTTTGTATGAACTGCATCAAGAATCTATTAACCACTTGCCCACCACCCTATAGTAGAAATACTGCTACAGGGCTGCGCAATATAACATACAAACGTTTTGCATCTCTAGGTAGGGGGTGCGTGCGCACTGCCCTACCTGTGCCGACATTGACTGCTAGAAATGTCAATCACCAGGTCCCGGACGGAAATTCCCGCCGGCACCCAGTGACCACCATGCAAAGCTGACAGAGAAGAGACCTGTGTGTAAACACAGGTCTCTCTCCTGCCAGCAAGGGCATGCTGCTTTGTATTTACCTGCATAGCACAGAAATACAAAGCAGCATGTCTCCCTAGTAAAACAGCACACACAGTAAAACACCCAGCACACTGTTAACCCCTTCCTGCCTAGAGTCATCAGTACAGTGTCAGTGCTTATTAGCACTGATCACTATTTTAGTGTCACTGGGGATGTCAGTGGCAGGCAGTCAGCTGCCACCCAGGGACAGAATGCCCGCCACAGTCCCGCTATGATCGCCACCATTATTCGGATCAAAAAAATAAATAAATTAAAAAAATTCTAATATATATACACCGCCATTTGTAGACGCTATAACTTTCACGTAAACCAATTCATTTACAAGTATCGCAATTTTTTTTTTTTTTTTTTTTTTAGCAAAGAAGTAGCAGAATACATTTTGGCCAAAATTAGATTTTTTACTGGATATGTTTTAAAGCAAAAGATATATTTTTTTATTCCAAAATGGTTTTTTTTTTTTTTTCTCCTATAAACAAAAAAAACACCACACACAAAAAAAGCCCACAGGTGGTGACCAAAATACCACCAAAAGAAAGCTCTATTTGTGGGGGTGGGGGGGTTAATGCAGACTTTCAAAGTTACTTAAAGGTCTACTTTCTGCTGTTTCCAAATGGTGCACCTGTGCTAGCGGTTTTGTGTTCAGACCTCTTGCTGCCATTCACTTTAGCATTTTTTTGGTTACTTTTCCTTACAGCCTCTAAATCTTTTACCACTTTGTCCATGCCATCAAAGACAAAGTTTGTAATTGCAATATTTTGTCTGTAATGGTATAAATTTTGGAAAACCCAATCATATGACCCATAAAAGATTAATAACGTTGCAAACTGGAGAGCAGATCGAAGAACTATGATTCTTAAAAGTACCCCCTCTGGGGTATGTGTACCATAGGTTGAGAACCACTGCTTTAGAGTTATATACCTTTTAACATTTATGCTAGTCAATCTAATATCGTATACCATTTATTTTTTTGTGTTTTTTTTAAACATTAAAATATTTACTTACCTCTCTGGCATTTAATGTGTAATTTGTATTGCTGAAATGTAACATTTTTTTTATACTGTAACACAAGAGCCTTAAGGCCTGGTTCACACTGCTGTGGCTCTGCTAGCCCCGGTTTGCACATTCATTTGAATAGACTGCTGTGCTCCTGAAAACACGAGGAAAAAGTCCCTGCAATCCGCATGGAACCTGCATGTGTAGTGCGGTTCCCAGTGTGGGAAGTGGCTGCTGCGATTTCCTCTGCTTGCAGATGCCATTATTATTAATTGCATACACACACACACACACACACACACTGCGATTTTCTGTGCAGGTGGTAGGACTGACAATCCTGTAACTGCCAAAACTCACCAACAGCAGGATTGGTGGTTTAAAGGACATGGCAGGAATAGGAAACGCTCACCTGATTTGTGTTTCCTTCCCCTGCCTTTTGGAGGAGAAAGGTATTGCTCTCTCATGAGCAACTCATAATTTTGTAGCAGTTTCAGCAGTGAGGGAGAATTGCCCTACTGGGAGCAACACATAAAATGGTTACGTGTCCTCCTTGTGTTTTCTGGAGAGATATCACCAGCATGACATGACCTGAGTTTGGTTACATGCGGTGCAAAAAGCAGCCATACATGCTAACGTGACAAAAACACAAAGCTTCTAACAGAAAGATTTAGAAGACTTTCCAGTTTTTAAAAAAGCCTAGCCCTTAACCACTCCCTCTCTTTTTTGCACATTAACATCAGACTTTTTGCCCATTAAAGTACTTAAAACCCCTAAACAATCATTTTCTGAATGCAGAGGACCTGTACGATAAACAGATGATAGTTGCAATTTATGCTTAACTATATTTGCTCAACTATAAACCAAATCTATATATTCAGGAAAAAAATAAACCAATTTTACTGCATATAAACCCCCCCCCCCTTTTTTTTCCTTTTCTTTTTAAACATAGAAAAGATTAAGTAGTGTCAATTAAACAGGCAACAGCCTTTTTCAAGCAGGGTACCTTCAGGTGTGCCATGGTAAAAGCCAGCAGTAGGCCAAGCCTGCCTTTTAGTTACACAAAGCTTCAGGTTTTCATTGTGCATCATTATAACCTTTCAGCTGCCGGCGTCCTAACAACCAATAATGTCACTGATTGCCAAAAGATACAGAGCATCCAATTTGCGCCTCCCCCTTACCCTCTCCATCAGCACTGGTGTCACATGTGTGAGGGAGAGAAAGTGAGGAAGAGAACAGCTGGAATACTAATCAGCACCAGTGTACAGTGTGTGTTTACTTTGGAGGAATAAATCAACTCTAATGCTGAGTGGTCTACGTGTGTGCATGTTGCTGCGTTTTGTAAAACTAAATATGCACATCATTTTAAAAGGGTTCCCCCAGCTGAAAAAGGGTTGAGAAACACTGAGGTACCAAATATGTCAGGTCTCAAACCAGCACATGCCCATGTTATTGCCAAACAATTGCGGTACTGCAGTCCATGATAGTTTAAATGCCTTTACAACTCATCAGTTTAGAATTAACCATAAATTAGGGACATAGAATTATCGCTCTCACTCTGGTGTGTGCAGAAATATCACATGTATGGTGCAATCGTTCACCTTCATGTGTGTGATCTATGCATGCATAGTATGTGTGTATATGGATTACTAGCTTGTAGTCCGACAGCTGTAAAACCAGAAACACTCAGACCTGAGCACTTCTGGATTCACATTGCACAGAGGAAATTGGGGAATGGATATTGCTGAGCGCCTCCTGGCTCCTGACCAGGGGTGCACAAGGTACAGCATGGAGGATGAACAGGGACAGGACACCCACGAGCACAGCTTAGATCACTTTTATGCATACACCAGAAGACTGCTGCACAGAAAAAAAAAAAACAAAATGATGCAGTCCTTATGGAGTTGTTCTCTGTGACATGGACCTGCATAATCATTTATAACAATGATCATAAACATTCTACAAGTGCAGTCACACATCAAGAGCTCTCAGTTTACATGCATCGTTGCCAACACAAGCCAGACTGCCTCTAAGGCAACCACATGACAGTAGACAATCTCGATTTCATTAACATGTTGGAGCCCCAGGTCCTGAATATGTACTAAGCTTGTTTATACTTTTTTTTACAAATGCATAATGTACCAAAAAAAAAAAAAAAAAGCTTTTTAAAAGTAGAAATAAAAGGCATCAACCCCCCCCCCCCCCCCTTTCATTTTGGAGAGAGTAAAAGAGGGTTATAACCCATCAGATTCTTTTTTCACCATCTGTGTCCCATTAGAGATATTTCCCTTCACTTCTTGACCCATAGAAGAAAATCAAAAAACAAACAGGAAGTGAGAAGAAATCGATCTTTACTAAAACCTTGCCCTGATGTGCAGATTTCACTTACAGAGACATGAGTTTACATCGGTTTTCTGCATGCATTATGTAAGGGCACAAAGAAAACCACTGTTCTCTGTGTGCCCTGTTCACAACACTAGTATCATGTACAGATTTCTTCTGTGCAAATCTGCAAAGTGTATAAAACTCATTGAAGGCTGCATGAAAACTGATGTCTCTGCAACTGAAATTTGTGTCAGTTTCCTTCAGTTTTTCTGCACATATGGTGTGAATGAGGCCTCTAAGTGGTTGTAAACCTCAGACATGAAATAAGAACAAAGCATATCCCTCTATAGTTCAGGGATGTGCAATTCACAACGCCCGACACATGTAGTTTCAGGCGCCAGGCAGGTAGGATTTTTTTGCCTTTAGCCCTGCTGCGGGCAAGCAGCAGGGCTCATCTGTTAGGTGGAAGCATTCAGATTGCTTCCACACAGCCCACAGTGCCGCCGCCTCCCTGCCCGCTATATGTACCGGTCTCCGCTTGCCCATCTGCGGACCCGGGACCCGGGACCAGTCAGTGGAATGTTGGGATGCAGGTAGAGAGGAGGGAGGAGAGTGGACATATCCGCTACCTTCCCCTTCTTGTCCTGGCTTGGAAGTGTTGTGACATCACTTCCAGGTCCCAGTTAACAGGTTCCTGGCCATTGAGGCCGGAAAAGAATGTAATGCAGGGCGATGTGCACTGCATTACATTCAGCGGAGAACAGGGGAGACATGCAGGGTCTTTTAGACCCTGCAGGTCTCAAAAAAATAAAAAAAAAAAAAAAAAAAAAAAGTTAGAACCTGTCAAAAAAATAAAAAAAAAAAAAATCGTCCAAGTAGAAAAAAAAAAAAAATTTTTTATTTAAAAAAAATGTAAGTTACAGCCAAGCATATGAACCCCCCAGATTTTTCAAGGTCCCCCCACATATGTACACACGGACAAAATGTAAAAGCACTCGCTGGGACGCTCACACATGAAAACGACGATTACAATACACAGGTTACATTTTGCCGTGCATGCCAGAATGAGAGCAATAATTCTAGCACCAGACCTCCTCCGTAATGCTAAACTGACTACCTAGAAAGGGCTTTAAAAGTGTCACCTATAGAAAATAGAGTACTAAAGTTTGTTCCATTTCACGAGTACACACATATTTAAGGTTTGACATGTTTGATATCTATTTACTCGATGCAACCCAGTCTTTTACATTTTACAAAAAAAATTTGATCAATTATTGCCGTTTGTGCCCTAAAATTAACTCAAGTGTATTTTTTACTAAAATTTTGTGGTATCGTGTGACAAAAAAAAAAAATAATAATAATTTGGAACTACCGCTATTTTATTCTCTAGGGTCTCTGCTTTCAGAAAATATATGTTTTGAAGTTTCGTGTAATCTTCAGGCCTTAAATGATTATTTTAAATGTGTGCAAAAAAAAACCACAAAAATGGCCCTTGCAGTGAAATGGATAAAAGATAAGCCGGACACTCCCCTTTCCTGAGGAGCAGCCAATAGGTGCTCATTACACTGCAAGGTCCCTCCCCTCCCTGCTCATCCCCGGGTGCAGTGCTGGAGACAAGGCAGGGAGGGGAAGAAGACTCACTTCGGACAGGTTTTCCTGACACCAAGAGAAAATGGTGACAGGGGAGGGACCTCTAGCACACAGCCTGCGATTGACAGTTTCAGCTCTGTTCCCTCCAATTAGCTCTCAGAGCACTCCTCACTAAGTAGAACTCATCTCTGTGCATCACCCGAGGCCAGTCACTCGGTATAAGTTAGAGCTGATTCTCACATGTATGGTGCGGACTGAAGCTCAGATTTCCCAGCTAATTGATACAGTAGCTATTCACAGGTTCGGGACAGGATTAGCTCATATGCGGTCTAGAAAAAAATTCCCATAGAAGTCAACAGCATATAATCTGAACCGTACCACACTGCTCAGAAATCGGACACTACTCTTTAAAAACCACAGAGCCTTGGTTCATATACGTACACGTGATTTGTACAGGAACCACACCGCATTCCTGTGCAAATCACATACGATTTATGTGTACTGCGATTGGAGCCATACTTTTTGTATGGCTCTATTCGCACCGCACTGGTGCCCAAAATGTGCAGGACCCTTTTTTGATTCCGCACTAGAATAGGATCGCACAGGTATTCACACCTATACGATCCGATACTTCACATCGCACCACGTTTCGTGGACCGTTTTCAGGATGTTGTTAACACACCTGCAGCGGTTTGCATGGACTGGGTGCAATTCTGATGGTGTGTGGAATTTACACTGAAATCGCTGCAAATTCCACACCACATCAGTGTGAACCAGGGCTGAATCTGCACCAGACATATGTAAACAGGCACCATAGGAAGCATTGTTATTTCACGTCATGCGGATCAGATGGAAGTTCAAACCATATATATGTGAACAGCACTAAGTGTCCACCCACTTTAAAGTGGAGCGTGGCCCCCCCCCCCAAAAAAAAATAAATAAAAAAAGTCAGCACCTACAAATACTGTAGCTGCTGACTTTTAATATTAGGGCATCTGTCCAGGGATCCAGCAGTGTCCTCACCCCCAGCAAATTCTTAAATCACCTATTGGGTGCTGGTGCCGCCATCTTGACTAAGAGAAACCAGTAGTGAGGTGTTGCAGCTTCTGTCAGTTTCCTACTGTGCTTTGTGAATGGGCTGCAGTCTTTTGGCACCTACAACATGTCCCAGGGGGCTGCGGGGGAAGGAGGTCTGAACTTTCAGCTTAGTTTGCTGAAATAATATCAGGCACCTGCTTCCCCCCCCCAAGGTACCAAATGTGGCCGTGAAGGGGGGTAGGCGGCAGATTAACAGCAACTTCCACATTTGGGTGGAACTCCACTTTTACTACCAAGTTTGAGGACAGTGTGTGTCTATGGACACACACAACCCAACTTGGGAACGAGCCCCTACAACAAGTGGCTTTCTATGGGGACATTCAACGGGGGGGGGGGGGGGGAACCAGGAGCACCAACAGGAGACCCCAGCAGTGTAGGTTTGGGATTGCTCTATGTAAACCATTACACAAAACAGGTTACTATGACATTTTCGTTATTAAAAAAAAAAAAAAAAAGTACATTTCCAATCAGTGTAAAGTGAAATAATTGAGACGTATCAGTCCTATATAATATAAATCCTGTATAATAATCAGTCACACGTGTTGAGCTCTCATGGAAAGTCTCTTATGTGAATTCGGCCCAGGCTCATTGAAAGGGCCCCTCCACCACCAACGTGTCACCAATGCTGTACTGAACCGCCCAGTGTGCCTTTTCTACAACAAAAGTCCTTCCCGCTCCTATTATTTTCAATGGAGGGCTAAGTTGTGCTGCACGTCCAGCCTCAGGTGTAAGGAGCCGCACAAACGTATGAAAGGCCTACAATCGTCATGCGGCTCCCTCTACACGCGGCTAGGAACGTGTAGGCCCGGAATGGTGAATGTTCGCGGGAAGGGAGGGGGTCCCTACACCCCCCACACCACAGAAGGGGCTGTCCTTACCTAGTGGCATCGGCCACGTCCTGACGAACAGAGAGGTGTTGGGCGGCCTAGAGTATCGGGACATGGTGCTGAGGAGCTGCGACTGGCGACGGATAACAAGTGGCGATATCCCCGGCCTCTTCAGACAAGTAGCGTCGTCTAACGTCCTTATTAGGCGGCCTGGCGGAGGGCTCCAGCTCGTTGTCAGGGGGTGTGTCCAGCGGGACGATGGTGATAGGAAGGTGTTCCGCTGGAGGGGCGGGATCGGAAGTGGCTTTGTGTCCATCTTGAGGTTTGGAATGCGCGCTTAGTGTGTGCTAATATAGTAGGAGCCATGCTGTTCGGGAGGATTAGTGTCTGGCCTCAGTACTGAGGGAATATAGGGGCTGCCATTGCTGGCGACCTCTGGGACAACATGCTGTCTTCTTGTTTGTGGGTTCACTTCTGGAGACACAGAAGAGTGGGAATGAAGGCCTCAGGCACGCTGACAATTATTTTAGGGCTTGCTCATACTTGTCTACATTTCTAACTTAACCACTTTGCCTTACATTAGTGTTTTTCTGCGTTTGCTGTTTTTAGTGTTTTTTTTTTTACCAAAAAGAATTTATTTACTCAAAACAACGTCCACAAATGCCGTTTTACAGCGTTAGAGCATTTTTACAGCTAAAAAACTAGAAACCCACTAGTTCTGGGTCTTTTCCAGCCAAAAAATGCTGATTACAGTCTATGTGTGCATGGACACATAGGATAACATACTGGGGGGGGGGGGGGGGGGGTACTGGCTGTAGAGAAGAACACCAAAAACAGGGAATTAATGAGGCACTGATGGGGTGGTTCTGGTGGGAATTAATGAGGAGGCACTGATGGGGTGGCTCTGGTGGGAATTAATGAGGAGGCACTGATGGGGTGGCTCTGGTGGGAATTGATGAGGAGGCACTGATGGGGTGGCTCTGGTTGGAATTGATGAGGAGGCACTGATGGGGTGGCTCTGGTGGGAATTGATGAGGAGGCACTGATGGGGTGGCTCTGGGTGGGAATTGATGAGGAGGCACTGATGGGGTGGCTCTGGTGGGAATTGATGAGGAGGCACTGATGGGGTGGCTTTGGTGGGAATTAATGAGGAGACACTGATGGGGTGGCTCTGGTGGGAATTGATGAGGAGGCACTGATGGGGTGGCTCTGGTGGGAATTGATGAGGAGGCACTGATGGGGTGGCTCTGGTGGGAATTGATGAGGAGGCACTGATGGGGTGGCTCTGGTGGGAATTAATGATGAGGAGGGCACTGATAAGCGGTATTGATAAGGTGGCTCTGGTGGGAATTGATGAGGCACTGATAAGTGGTACTGATAGGGTGGCTCTGGTGGGAATCGATGAGGAGGCACTGATGGGAATTGAATGATGGAGGCACTGATAAGCAGTATTGATAAGGGTGGCTCTGGTGGGAATTTATGAGGAGGCACTGATGGGGGTGGCTCTGGTGGGAATTGATGAGGAGGCACTGATGGGGGGGTGGCTCTGGTGGGAATTGATGAGGATGAGGAGGCACACTGATAGGGTGGCTCTGGTGGGAATTAATGAGGAGGCACTGATGATGCTGCACTGATGGGGTGGCTCTGGTGGGAATTGATCAGGAGGCACTGATGGTTGGCACTGTTGAACATTGATGGGCACTTTGGGGGCTGCACTGATAATCAGGGCACTGACCTGATTATCAGTGCAGATGCCCTCTGTGACACACTTGCCGGTTATCAGCAGTACTTTCCTTACACTGAGACAACATGAGGAAAGTGCTGCCAATAACTGGCAACTGTATTTATTTTGTGATCAGCTGTGTCATTAGACACAGCTGATCACATTGTAAAAGGCCGCTGTGATTGACCTTTTACCTTGTCATGTGATCAGCTGTGTCCACAGGACACAGAGATCACAGACAGTGAGGGGTACACGCCACTGGGGGTGTGTTCTGGGACAACCGCTCTGTAGCTGTCATTTTACTATAGCGCGGTTGTAAAGTGGTTAACAAATGCACCAATAGCGTTAGTATGGGTGTTAGGCGATAATGAGCTTTAATATTAACCACTCGGCTACCGTGCACTTTTACTTCCTTCCTGCCCAGGCCATGTTCCAGCTTTCAGCGCTGTCACTCTGAATGACAATTGTGTGGTCATGCAACACTGTACCCATATGAAGGTTTTTTCACACAAATACAGCTTTATTTTGGTGGTATTTAATCACCACTGGGTGTTTTATTTTTTACACTACAAACAAAAAAAAAAGACCGAAATATTTGAAAAAAAAAAGTTTTTTTTGTTTCTATTATAACATTTTGCAAACAGGTAATTTTTCTCCTTCACTGATGTGCAACTCATCAGTGAAGGAATTGCCATTCACACTTTGACAGTTGCACAGTCATGCAACACTGCCCACATGAACTTTTTATTATTTGTTTCAGGCAAATAGAGCTTTCTTTTGCTATATTTAATCACCACTAGGTTTTTTTATTTTTTTGCACTATAAACAGAAAAAGACCGAAAATTTTGAATAAAAAAGGTTTTCTTAATTTCTATGATAAAGTTATGCAAAAAGGTAATTTTTTTCCTTCACTGATGTGCATTGATGAGGCTACACTGATATGGCGTTACTGTTAGGCAGCATTGATGGGCACTGATGTCTCCTTTGACAGTTGACAGTTATCGACTTTTTTTCCTCATGCTGTGACAATGTCCAAAGGACACAGCTATCACAGACAGCGCCAGGTTCTCTCCACGGGGAGGGGGCGTGTTCTGGGAGGATGTCATATGACACCCTCACACCTTCCCAGAACTGGACGACCGTGCTGTAGCCGTCATTCAGCTATAGCTTGGTAGGAAAGTAGTTACATTTCAGATTGGCATTTTACAAGCGTTTAAAACGCTCCCCAAATGCCCTATGCATGGTATTGACACCTTTTTTAGGTGTTTTTTTATAAGTGTTAAAACCGCACCACAACTGCTTATAGTAAACTGTAATGTTGTTAACGCACCAAAAACGCCTGCAAGCATGTTTTCTCCATAGACTTGAATGGGAGGCGGTGAAAGGCTTCAAACTCCTCCAGACTCAACATGAGGCTTCAGTTTTGAAGCGACGCTAATGCTTCATGTTTTGAAAATGTGAACAGCACTGTGTGTTGTCCATAGTATCATTTGCATAGGCATTTGAGGAGCATTGAAGTGACACTAAAGCTTGTTTTTTTTTTCTAAACTAACAAACATGTCTATACTTGCCTGCTCTATGCAGTGATTTTGCACAGAACAGCCCCGATCCTCTTCTTTTTGGATCCCCTCCGGCGCTCTTGGCTCCTCCTTGAGCAGTGCCCCCAGGGAAAGCCGCTCACCCTGGGGATACCTCTATGTGCTTTCCCCTGAGCTGCTTCTCTATGTGTCCATAAGGCTAGGTTCACACCTATGCAGTTTGTGCTTGACCCATTTCTGCATTGCGTTTTGTGTTGCATTTTGCGTTTTTTTTCTTGTTGCTAGGCAGATTTAAAACGCAGCAAAAATGCACTACATGCTTTTCTGCAGTATTTCCATTGAAGTCTATAGAACCAAAAACGCAACTTTTTGCATTCAAAAAAGTCACTGACCCTTTCCAAAAAACGCATCGTGTGAAAACGCGGAGATGTGAATTTGTCCCATAGGAAATCATGTTAAATGGACTGTAGTGCGTTTCTGCAAAACGTTGTGGAAAACACTTAGGTGTGAACCTAGGGTTAGACACATTGAGCTGCAGCTAGGCCCTGCCCCCGCTTTCTCCTCATTGGCTCACTGGCTTTAATTGGCAATAGGCTCCTGTTTCTGTCTCAGCCAATGAGGAGGAAGAGTGCCCAGACAGCAGAGGCTGTCGAGAACATCGCTAGATTGGAGGGGGGGCTCAGGTAAGGATTGGGGGGGGCACGGGGGGGGGGGGGCTACTGCACACAACACACATATAATGCATGAAGGTAAAAAACCTTGAGCCTTTAGAACCGCTCTAAAAACACCATTCAAATGCCTGCATTCAATGCCAGTTTGAACCTGGCCTAACTCTTCAAGAAGCCAGCAGTATTTTGGTCAATAAAAACGCTAGATACTAAAATTGTGTACCACGTTGACCTGCATCAGGCGTTTGATCATTAATTAATTTTATTAGCCAGAATAAATATTTTATTCTGGACATTGAAATAAACTAATGCTCAAGTGCTAAACATGCCAAAACTCTGCTGCTCCAGGATGCCCTGGCATGTTTTTTTTAACTTCTCCTGCCACAAAATGCTGCTAAAATCAAATGTGTGCAAGCACACATAGGATAATATGTAGGGGTCTTTAGAGCCAATAAAAAAATGCCTGACACCCATAGGAGCAGCTGTAAAAATGTCCAGTGTGCATAAGGCCTAATACTTGCATAGCTCCCAAATGGCCCTCCTTCACAACCAAATGGTGAAAGAGAATGTGAAAATGTGTTGTTTTACACAAATGTGTCAATGAACCACTTCAGTCCCAAGCCTATTCTGACACTTCTCTCCTACATTATTATTATTATACAGGATTTATATAGCGCCAACAGTTTGCACAGCGCTGTACATTATAATGGGAGACAGTACAGTAACAATACGAGTCAATACACAAGGGGTTCGAGGGCCCTGACTATCTAGGAGGGAGGGGATAGTGGTACAGGAGGAAATAGCTGTGGGGGATGGAGTGGTAGGAAGAGTTGAGGAGTTCAGTAATTAGCTGAGGGCGGGGTAGGCTTCCCTGAAGAGATAGGTTTTCAGAGTGCGCCTAAAAGTGAGGAGAGTAGGTGATAGTCTGATGGATTGGGGTAGGGAGTTCTAGAGTATGGGGGAAACCCTGGAGAAGTCCTGAAGACGGGCATGGGAGGAGGAGACCAGGGAACTAGAGAGTAGGAGGTCTTGTGAGGAGCAGAGAGTACGTTTTGGGTGGTATAGGGATACCAGATCGGTGATGTAGTTTTGGGCAGTATTATGAACAGCTTTATACGTCAATGTTAGTATTTTGAATTTTATCCGTTGGGCAATCGTAAGCCAGTGGAGGGATTGGCAGAGGGGGGTGGGCATATACGGAGCGGTTAGTAAAGTGGATGAGTCTGGCCGCAGCATTCAAGGTAGACTGAAGCGGGGATAGCCTGTGGTGAGGTAAGCCGATGAGGAGGGAGTTACAGTAGTCGAGGCGTGA